TTTTTTTATCTCCGCTTGCTCTGACGAAAAAATGGATTTCTAGGGTAAAATCCCGGATATAGCAGGTACACCGCAACAATAGATATGCATGGTAACAAAGTGGGATACCATCAAAGAAAACGAGTAATTCCCTATGAAACATTGTATGCCATTTGAACTACAGCTCAGTAATATAAAAATGAAAAATAATAAATAAATAAGTCCCCAAATACAACTCTTTTTTGAACTGATCATTTCGATGGTTGGACGACGTTTCGACGACGAAGTCAGTATTTGGACGAGATTTAAGTCCCTGCAAGTGTGTCAGCTGAATGCAGTTACAACAAATGTGCTCTATTTCAAATAATATCAGTACCCACAAGACGGCCAAATGCATTCATCTTTAAAGTCAAAAGCACGAAAGGGCGGTGAAACTGGTTTTTGAGTTCCTACAGGGCTGCTTTTCCACCCGACAACATCAAATTATCAATGTCCCCCTAAGGCAGTTAGCTGAGCTGCTATTCTGCTGATCCTGTTTTAAAAATGGCCTAATATTTTATAAATAAATGAAAATAAATAAAACATTTTTTCGTTTCAGAAGTAATCCGAACTCCCTCGATCTTCATTTTTGTTTGTTATATGAATGTATTTCTCAAGACAACTTGTGTTACGCTATTCCCGTCTATACTATTTGAACGTTTTATCGCCTCCAACTACATCGATGATTACGAGAAAAAATCACGTCCATGGGTGGTCATTTTGGCAATGGCTTTGTCATTCGGCCTATCTGCAGCCTACACAACTGCCCTAATCTTTGGTAAGGATTTTAATGGTCAATCGTGTTGTGTCCTGGTTGCAAATCCGTATCGCTCACTAGCCATGTATCTCGTTTACTCTTTTCCGCAAATTTTTGAGGTAACAGCCGCGTGGAATTGCCTTCGGAAGGAGACTCTCTTTAGATGGTAGGAATGACATGACTATTGCAATGTTTGCACTCTCATTGTAGTTATGTCATTAAAAATCTCTCTTCAACCTACCCGTTTCTGTTTAACATTCCCACTATTTCAGGGTTCCTGGGCGTTGACAAAGTGATAATGTTTTCAATTGGAGTGTGCATTGTATTCTCCATAGTGTTCGTCACGTTGTATCGACGCAATCGCCGACGTCTCAATAGATTTGTTATGAAAAATCCTAACTGCTATGAACTTAGCACCAGATTTCAACTTGTCGAGAATCTTCGAGCTCTCAAGGTATGCCCTTTCTAGTTGATGAAGTGGTCAAGGAGCCTTTTCAAGCTCTCGCAGATGATATCACAAAAATTTTTCGAGCTCAGCAGTAAAAGTTCCTCTATAACTGTTTACAATTACATTCACTCCACCTGCACTGTCTGCTGGTCTCATCTTGTCAAGAGTGGGCCATCTTCTGAGGCGATTGGCATTAATAGTTGGTCCCTCGAACTTCTAGCTCACCAGTCCCTTACAAGACCAATGTAATCTTCCGCATAGCTGTCAGGGTTTTCTGTTTGAATACACTAGCTTCCTCTCAAGGTGGACTCCAAGCCAAGATATACTGGTTAAGTAGTAGTATTACACACTACAATTAATGTGCGAACTTTGTAACATGAGAGTAATTAACAAACAATATCAGCTTCCAACAGTAACATATACAAGCATCTACAAAAACGCATTAAATAGTAGAATCACACCACCACTGCCTCCGAACCTGAGGGCTATTGTACCAAGGATAGAGTTAACACAGCTGGCATTAGGCAAGCCCCCACTGGCCTCAACTTTCTTCTTAGCCTCCCTTGGCTACGGCATCCGGATGACCGTGTTGACAGAACCACCCTTAAATAGAAGGCCGGTAGTAGAGGCCGGTTAGTCTAGAGCTGGCTTTCCGTCGTACTTGGGCTCAGCACGCGCAGTCCCGTTGTGGTCAGAGAAGATAGGCCGGTGCGTAAGGTGCACCACGCGACCATTAATGCATTCGCGACATTACCCGATATTCTTGTTTTTCGAGCAGTGGAGTGAGTAGGTTTTCCGGAGCTCACTAAAAAAGATCATATTCTAACCTATACATATATAAAAAATATAATTATCACATGTTAAGTGGTTAATCATCGCTATTTCAATCAAACTATTAGAGATTGTTCTTTGCAGATAATAAGGAACGCATCTGTAGCCTTCACAATCTGGCTGCCGTTACCATGTGTAATGGTAGTTTCAGCGCATCTCTATTTTCTACCGTATACTGATTCGGGTCGAATCGTCTTCGCATCCTTTGAATTCGTGCTGTCACTGTGGGTTCATTTACATACTTCTTTAAAAAAAACACAATTTTCGTCTCACCCCGTTTGATGGCTTCAGAAAGAAGTCAGCGTCACACTTTTGCCCCTTATACGACGACTTTCAAACGATTATCCAGCTTTACAGCCGTTTAGATTCGTTATTGCTGTGTATTTGTTTACTGCATTGTGGTTTCCAGTTAGGTGAGACATAAAAAAGGCAAGAAAAGCTGCTTCGTGAGAGACTTGTGAAAGGCTGAAGAGGCATGTAATGACAGTCAGAGTAGGTTCGGAACCTCATAATAACGCTCGTTGAAAATGCCACATCATGGCATGGTCGTGCTCTGCTGCTAAGGAACCTATGCAAGACGAATGCAAGAAGATTAGGGCCTTCAGCACGTCGTTTATGCTCATGGCCTAGCCGCTGCCTTTGTGGCGATATCATTCTTTGAAATTAGTTTTTAAGTGGTTTCTGTAGTTCATTACCGATACAGTATAAAAAACCTTGTATGAAATAGCTGCTAAAGTGTTCTTCACGACAAGTTAAATGTAAGCTGTTAAGCGCTGGAAACATGTGGAGGAGAAACATTATACATATGTAGATCTCTTTCAGCTTTATTTTGCTTTGCTGAGTAGACAGCTGACATGTTTTCAGATCCATCGCAGCTCTATTCGTGTTTTCTGTAGTGGCTCTTGGGTCGACGTCAACAATGGCTAAGATGTTGAATTGCGGGAGCATGCTCCGAACGAAAGTCAACGATGAATACCAACAATATCGTAGCGTCATCACGGAAAAGTACTTTCAACATCTTCATTCAGCCTGGACATAGCAGCACATTGTCAGTACGGAATACCATGTTATCAGGAATAAAAATAAAAGTTAATATTCATGCAGACAATGGCAACTCGTATGTGATTTCCACCGCTTTTTTTTGGGCTCGTTTTATGATCGATGGTCGTCATGATCACTCATGAACAACTTCAATTACAAATTATTTTGTTCGAGACCATGTAGCAATTTCGCATGAACATTTTGGTTTTGCATATCATTACGCCTACGAGTTCTAGCTTTTTTTAAATCGATTGTTTCTATCGGGAATGAAAAAGCCACTCTGCCTACTTCCATCACGATCACCTACAGGAATTGTCCTCTGTGAGTGCCTTCTTCAAATAAGCAGGNATTCTTGTTTTTCGAGCAGTGGAGTGAGTAGGTTTTCCTGAGCTCAGCAATAAAAGATCATATTCTAACTTATGCATATATAATAAATATAATTGTCACATGTTAAGTGGTTAATCATCGCTATTTCAATCAA